GTCAATACATCTCTTTGTAATTTTCTTTGCCTACAAAAGCTTTGGTTATTCATCCTTGTCCAAGGTATTCGGGTCAAAGCAAGTGAAAAGTGAACATGACGGGCTTAACTCGACCTGATCCGCTTGTTAGATGTATACAAACAGAGGGTGTCTACTGTAGTAGCGTTCGATGGCTAGCCCGGCAGGCAGACACGAGACAGCGAGATTAGCACAGAAACTCTCAATCACCCGCGCACATACACTTATATAGACTCCCCCCGCACATGCGCACAAATACAGGCATACATCCATACGCAATGTATACTCATACTACATCTGTCCTTCTTTAGTCATGCAAAAACGATACCAGTGTTCAGCTTCAGTTAGACCAGCTAGGGTCAAACCGTTCGGGTGGTCGGGAGATACGGCTACTCCGGCGTAACATAGGTTGTGTGTTTGAATTTGATTCGGCTGAGTTCGATTCGTTCGATGTCGCTTCGTTCCAGGTCGATTCATTCGAGTTCGATTCGGATTGTTCAACATGGTCACTAGACTCAGACTGGTCTTCCCCTGAGCTCGGTAAACGAATGAGATCTCTCCGGTTCCGACGGATGGAACCTTCATCTTGTTCCACTTCATATGATTGAGGTGCCACCTCTCTTTGGACCTCTCCCTCCGTTTGTCTTGCCGGGATCCAAACTAGATCTCCAGGTTGCAGAGGTGGCAGCTCTCTGGCCCCATGGCGAGAGTCAAAGTCTGTTTTCTGACGTGTCTTACTCTTTTTGTCACATCTTCTCACTGCTCTGAGGTCCGGGATCCGTGGTCTCCGCTGTTCGCATGTTGTTGGAACTGAAGTACGGAGGATTCTTCCCATGAGTAGCTGGGAGGGACTGTAGCCTGTTTGAAGTGGGGTAGACCGATACGCCAGAAGGGCTTTGTAGGGATCGCCACCCTTTTTGAGTAGGCCTTTGATAGTACCAACTGCCCTCTCTGCCTCCCCATTCGCCTGTGGGTAGTATGGACTACTTGTGATGTGTCGGAACTCGTAGTCTTTTGCGAACTCGCTGAACTCTCTGGAGGCATATTGTGGTCCGTTGTCAGAGACCAATGTCTCTGGAACCCCGTGTCTGGCGAATATGCTTTTGAGATGGGTGACCACTTCCGTAGTGGTTGGTCGTTGGAGGCGAGCTATTTCAATGTACCTGGAGAAGTAGTCCACGACTAGCAGGTACACAGCCTGATTCAATTCGAAAAGATCGCTGGCTACTTTCTGCCATGGAAGGTCAGGTAGTGGAGTAGGACTGAGAGGTTGGGGTATCTGTCTCTGAGCTCTTAGACAGTCTTCGCAGGAGTGAATGAGCTCCTCCAACTGCTTTGAGAGTCCCGGCCACCAGACCGACTGTCTGGCCCTCTCGCGGCACTGGGAGTCTGATGACCAGTGTGGATCTTGCGTAGTACGTCCTTTCTCATTGGAGGTGGTATGACCATCCGTCCACCTCGGAGTATGAGACCGTCCTGTACCGTCAGCTCTGCAGCCACTGGATAGTAGGGCTTCAGTTCCGGCGGAAGAGACGACTTCACCGGCCAGCCTGACCGGCAGTACTCCACAATCTGTTGGAAAACTTCATCAGCTTCCTGACACTCCCGAATCTCTGTGATTCTCTGTTCCGTTACAGGTAGGTGACAAACCACAAAGTCCACGTAGGCTGTTGTTTCGAGCTGAAGCAGCTCGTCTCCTTCCCTGGGTGTACAAACTGGAGCTCGGGAGAGAGCATCGGCGATGGTTAGCTCCTTCCACGGGACGTGGCTGATCGTGAACTGGAAACGCATCATCCTCATTCGGAACCTCTGTACTCGCAGTTCCTCCAGGTTTTTTGAGCTGAACAGAGGCACTAGAGGTTTGTGATCTGTCTGGATATGGAACCTCATGCCCACCAGATAGTCGGATAATCTCTCACAGGCCCATGTGAAGGCCAATGCCTCCTTTTCAATTTGGGCATATCTCCTCTCGGTCGGAGTCATGGCTTTTGAGATGTAAGCCACCGGTTGGAGATCTCCAGATGTCTGTCTCTGCATCAGGACAGCTCCCAGGCCGAAGGACGAGGAATCTGCTGAGAACACTGTTTCCAGGTTGGGATCAAACAGTGCAAGGACTGGACTATTGGTGAGGATTTGTTTGACTTTGTTGAATGACTTCTGCTGTGGTTCCCCCCAGACCCACGCATTTTCCTTGACCAGCAGCTCTCTCATGGGCTGTGTCATCTCCACCAGGTTTGGGGAGAATTTGCTCAGCTGGTTTACCGTGCCGAGGAACCGGCGGACATCACCAACACTTTGTGGTATGGAGAAGTGTACAATGGCTGAGACTTTGTCTGGGTCTGGTCGGATACCTTGGCCGTCGATGACGTGTCCGAGAAACAAAACTGAAGACAGGGCAAACTTGCACTTCTCGGAGTTCAGTGTCATGCCCAGGTCGCTGAGGCGTCGCAGAACTTTTCTCAGTCGTTCGTCGTGCTCTTCTTTCGTTTTCCCATGTACTAGGATATCATCCATGAGGCATACTGAGCCAGGTAGACCGCTGAGGGCCTCCGACATTCGTCGCTGGAAATGCTCAGGGGCTGACGATATTCCAAATGGCAATCTGCGGAAGTGATATCGCCCGAATGGGGTGATGAAGGTAGTGAGGAGTGCCGATTCCGGCGCCAGTGGGATCTGCCAGAACCCTGAGTTGGCATCGAGTTTTGTGAAAATCTTAGCTCCTGCCAACTGGGCCAGTGTCTGGTCCACTGCAGGGAGGGGATGTCCCTCCCGTCTAACGCTCTCGTTGAGTCTTGTGAGGTCCACGCAGATCCTAACTTTTCAGTTATCCTTTGGCACCACCACCATGCTGGAGCACCACTCTGTAGGCTGGTTGACTTTGGCTATAACTCCCAACTCCTCCATCCTCTGTAACTCTTGGCGTACGCAGTTGAGAAGGGGGATTGCCACTCGTCGGGGTGTGGAAAGAGAAAATGGCTCTGCATCGTCTCGTAACTCGATCGTGTACTCACCCTCTAACTTTCCCAGACCCTTGAATAGGGAGGGGAATTCCTTTTTAGGTGAGAGTTCGCTCGTCGGTTCGATGGATGCGACGCGTCGGATGAGCTGAAGATTCGAAATCATCTGTTGGCCCAGCAGTGACCTAGAGAGACCCTTGGCAACATAGACATCTCCCTCTGCTTGTCGACCACCCAGTCCAAAGATCCCAGTGAACTTCCCCAGGGTTGCTATGGCTGTAGAGTCTGGGCCGCGCAGAGTTCGATCGGGTAATTCCAGTGAAGGCTGACCAACGCCCTTCCAGGTGCGTTCAGAGATGACGGTCACCTCTGCTCCGGTGTCGATGTAGAGCTGGGCTGGTTTCACTTGGAGGGTCAGCTCAATGGTCCAGTCTGCCCCACTGCTGTCATTCGAGACAGTACCCAGGAAGGCATCTCCTTCATCAGAGTCTGGACTTGTCTGGACATTCCTGACTTTTTTAGAAGTCCTGCACACCGCTGCAAAGTGTCCAAGCTTGTTGCACTTATTACAGGTCTGGTTTCTGGCTGGGCACTGTGCTTTGTCGTGGGCTGGCCATCTGCCGCACCAAGTACACGTTGATTGTTGCTGAGATTGCGGTTGTTTACTCCCAGCAGGTGTGCCACCACGACTGCCCCTGATATCTTTAGACCCGCCTCGACCCTTCTGGACCGCCCCCACGGGTGTATCTAGTTTCCCTCTCAACAATGGTTGCTGTTGTTTCACGGCTTCCGCTTGCCGCACCCGCGTGATGGCTTTGTCCAGCGTCAGTTCTGAGTCTAACTGTAGTTTCTCAGACAAAGCGCTGTTGCGAATCCCCACGACTATCCTGTCTCGTGATCATTTCGTTGTGGAGATCGCCGTAACCACAGTGTTCTGCGAGCGTGAAGAGCGTGGTTATGAAGGTTTCAACTGACTCCCCTTCCTCCTGTCTCCGGCGATTAAACTTCGCTCTCTCGAAAATCACGTTTCGTCGCTGTACGAAGTGTGTGTTGAACCTCGTCTTGACGGTCGCGTAGTTCTTTCTGTCCTCCTCAGACAGCCTGAACGAGTGGAGAATATCGTCTGCCTGGTCGCCCATGGCATAGATGAGAGTATTCACCTGGACTTCTTCGTCCCGTTGTGCTAGGCCCGACACGACTCGGAACCGCTCGAAACATCTGCTCCACTTCACCCACCGCTCCTCCGGTCGGCTGAAGGTAAAGGGCTCGGGGATTGTAACTTGAAATGTGGCGGCTGTCGTCGATCCGCCGTCTGTGCGTTCTCTCTCTGGTCTGGCGTTTCCGCCATCTCTCCCCTCTGTACCCTCTACTGACATTGTCTCGACACCGCTGCCACCATGTAGTAGCGTTCGATGGCTAGCCCGGCAGGCAGACACGAGACAGCGAGATTAGCACAGAAACTCTCAATCACCCGCGCACATACACTTATATAGACTCCCCGCACATGCGCACAAATACAGGCATACATCCATACGCAATGTATACTCATACTACATCTACCAAGTCCCGCGTGTTATCTACTACTGTAGCTAGCTTGTGTCAGAGCTACCGGTCTAATGGGAGAGCACAAGTAAACACATAGCCCTAGCACGCAGCAGTTTTAGACATATTTTTGACCTTTATCTGATGCAGAATACGTTATATTGTTTGTGGAGCAATTGATGGCTCGTGAAGTGAGATGTCATGGAACAGACAGATAGACAGACAGACACACACACACGACAACTACAGTAACCCTCGCAGCACATGCGAGCTGATGGTTAATAACGTGCTAAAATGCAAATTTTGACAAGGCAAGCATTAACTCATTGCCACAGATATTTCCCACATGTAAACAACACAAATTCAGTATTAGACAGTTCAAGGTTTAGCCACAGTTTTCACTGAGGTTAACATAGGATTTGCTTATTACGTTTTGACCAGAACTGTAATACCTATCCAATGCCAATATTTGTAAGCACTAACCAGAGAATTAAGCCATCATAAAGAGCTTCAAAAAGTGCATTGCCATCTTCTGAAATTGGAAGACAGTTTCGAAGGTCTGCGTCATCTTCGAGCTGGTAATTGATCCAGTCGCAGAAGGCTAGCTTCTCCTCCTCTGAGAATGAATGAGTTGTTCCTGTGAAAGAGACAGTATCGAGTGCTTAACACTGCCCATACAACAAACTTGTATATCCTGGTTGGTTTTCAACTTCATGGGGTGAATTCTATTATGCAAAGGAACAAAAAAACATTTTTTCAACTTATTAGGCTTTGTTTATTTATACATTCATGAGTTAGGGTCCCATACATTTCTATAGCAGCAGGAAATAGAAGTCACACGCATTCACACATACGTGCACAATTGCATTAATCGCGCGCAATCTACAGTGTTAGTTTGACAGCTTGTTGGGAGCCAAACAATTCCTGTTCTACGTTCAGGCATGTCAGCTACATTTACATGGAACATAACAGAGGATTGCAAGGACAACACTCTGGGTACAACATAAAGAAATAAAACGCACCATGTGCAAACTCTCAACACAAGAAATGTGTGCACAAGTGTTGCAAAGTTTCCCCCGAGTAAGCCTGGTTGAGGTGTAAGTCAGTGCTGAATATCAGTGCTCGAATTAATGTCCGGTAAACGGACAATTTCTGGCCAATCATTGCGTGTGTACGGTCAAAGTTCAAGTTGAGCGGCAACCATGTCCGGGCGAAAGCGTCCTCGTCCTGTGTTCCTCCCGCAAAGCATGGAGTTAACAAAGGTACAACGGACAAGTGGTTAGCCGAGTATAACAAAGAAGTAAACACATCCGTTTGGCTTAGGTATATATGAGCTAGCTGACCGCACCGCGACCACGAGCGGTCAAAGCAGAGAACAAAACGCAAATTCGAGGTTTCATACATGATAGCAAAAGAGAAGTTTGCGTTTACTAAAATGCAACCATTCTGTGACATGGAAGAGAAACACGGTGTAGACTTGGGTCCAGGCTATAGGAATTATCATGCCTGCACCACATCGGCGGTGATTTCCAGCAGCAACTAGTAGCTGCACTAAATCAGCAGTAAATTTTTCAGCCTCAAAGCCCATAGTAGCACTGACACAGGAAATACAGAGAATGAGTTTCTTGTACTTTACTTTCATCCCCACTCCACAGATGGCAAAGTCCATGTGCGGGATAGATATCTTACTGTCAGGGAGCTTGGTAGTGGTACTGCTTCTGGTCTGTTGGAATGCCTTGAGAGTATATGGGCATTGCTGATTGGGAGCAAAAGATGATTGGTCTGGGGTGTGATGGGTGCAATGCCAATATGGGGGAGAGGGGGCTCCGAGGCTTACTTCAGCAGAGGCTTCCGTGGGTCATAGGTTTCTGGTGCTTAACTCACAGGCTTGAGCTCTCCCTGAAGGATGCACCGAAAAATACCATTTTCAGTGCAGTTGGTGAGCTCCTCCTCCAGGTTTATTATGTGTATGAAAAGAGCCCAAAGAAGTGTACGGAGCTCCAAGAAGTAGTAGACAAACTCAGGGCATGCTTAGAGCCTAGTGAACTCCCTCTACAAGGGGGTAACCGCCCTCTACGTGCTTGTGGCTGCTTTAGGAAGGGTTATTGACCGATTTGGTGTTTACCTCGCTCACCTTGTATACTTGACACAGGATAGCTCAGTCACTTCTTCTAGTCAACAGAAATTGAAAGGCTTTTTAGCTTCTTTTCACACCATATTCCTTGAACACAGTCGTACTTTAAAGAAAATCGCCTTATTACACAATTATTATTATTATTATTAGTAATAATACACATGAAAGAGTGTGGGTGGCAATATGTCTTATAGTAACAGAAATGAATTGTACATGAATGAGGCTAGATTGCTGATTCTTTCAATTGCACTAGCTTCTCAGCTGAATTCAGTGACCCAAAATGTGAATAAAGCCCTGCTATGGAAATGAACAATTTGCTTCTTAGATTTGCATTACTGACACAAACTGACACTAGGTGTACTTCATCCTCTATTATGTTGCATATTCAGCAAAGCCTGTAGTTAATAGGGAGGGCTGCAGGTTTACGGTATAGACCAGTTTCAATTGCCAACTTAAGGCAGCTGGTTCGCAGCTTTGTTAGAGGTATTCGATGTTGTATGGTACCTGATGTAAAAGGTAGCTCTCAAGCAGGAATGTTTCCTTCAATAATTTTATGTTCTCAGTTTATTGCTACCATTCTTCTCTTTTTTACTTCCAGGAGAGTTGAGTTGGCCATACCAGTCTTGTAAAAACTGGTAACAACGCTGCTTCATGACTTGATTCACATGATGTGTAGTAATCAGTGCCAGCCATGCTAAACTTGAAAGGCAAACCTTCAGTGTCGTGTAGTCGTTTTGTTCTTGTTAGCCAACAGTTTTAAACATTTTTTCAAACATGTCAAGAGTCATTGCGGTAGCTCACTCGTATTCATTTTACACCAATACTTGAGAATGCTCTCTTTCTAGAAGGCCCCAATTCACCACATACTGCTGCATTCCATGGTAGGTGTAGGATGCACTTCATAAACTCAAATTTGAATGTCATTCTCGAACCCACAAATTTCACAACCACAGCCGAGACATTGATAATAGAATTAAACAAGTGCTAAGAGATTGGTACTGGTGGAAATTTTAGTTTGGTAACAGTTTGCAAAGACAACTTTCTTGGCTTGTAGGGCGATAAGGTTTTTAGCCTTATTCAACTTTTCAATTTTTGGATATCCAACCCCCCAGATACTACAACGCATCTACATTCTCAAGGTCTATTTCCTCACATTAAAATGGTGATGTTTTCTTGCCCCAAATGCACAGATTATACACTTTTCAGTGTTTATTCTGAGGTTCTATTGACTGCAAAACGTTTCAAGGGGGCTACTCCATCTGTACTAGCTGAGAGGAGAATGATGTCGTCAGCAAACATCAGGGTATCTAATGTTGCTTCCCCTAGGGGGACACCTGCCTGATTCTTTGCCAATTCAATTTATAATTCACTGATGAATAGCTTCAATAGTAGTGGACTCAAGTTACAACCTTGCCGGACACTTTTTTAGCACTTGAACATACCTGTTGCCTGTCTTCACTCTGGCTGTGGCTTTTGACTGCAGTATTGATTAGTCAGGCCAAATGAGTTCAGTTTAACCCACATTAAAGTGTGTTCGACATTATCAAAGGCCTTTTTCAGGTCTACATAGCAGACAAACAGGGTTGATTTGTGAAGCAAGAAAAGTGTCAACGAGACTCAATACTGATGAATGGTATTCCAAACCTTCTCTATCAGTGTATTCAGAATAAAAATGCCATCTGTGGTTCTTCGGTTCTAAATCCATATTGTTCCTCTTGGAGAATGCCAAAGGTCTCTGCCAATTCCCTTAGTCTGGTGTTGAATATTGCAGTGAATATCTTTCCTACAGTGTTCAACAAAGTGATTCCCCAGTAATTCTTGGAATCTGCCTTGTCTCCTGCTTTGTGTATAGGGCAGATAAGCCCATGAGCCTAATTCATCGGTATCCACATTGAGTCTCGTTGACTCTTTTCTTGCTTCACAAATGTTTTTTCAGAATTCCATAGGACTGCTGTGTTTGGCCAAGAGCATTCTGATGTGTAGCTTGGCTTGGGCCTGTATGTGTTGCTTTTATATTTTTTTATTTCTTGGTAAGGTATTCAGCCCTTGTGTGTTATTAACATTCTTTTCTATGTTACACTCCTTGTCAAACCATGGGTTTTTAGGAAAGGTGTTCACTCTAGGTTATTGTTTATCCAGTTTCTTTGCTTGCGTTTTACTTTTTAACCCTCCACAGCTTTTTAACATTTCTTGAAAGGCTTATGCAAGATATCTGGTGTGTCAATATTTGTTCCTGGATTCTTCTGTTACTACCCTCTATATCCTGATTGAAATACAAACAAGACTGTTCGTTCCAGTGCACAGGCTTCACCAAGGGGTATAGAGGTGCATGTCTCAACAACTTGGCAGCGAGGTAGAAAGGCAAGGCAAACAAGTCAACTACACCCAGGAACAGCTATTTCTTTTCAAAGAAAAGAAGAAGAGTGGCCCTGGGTGAGATTCGAACCCAGACACTCTGCAGTCCAGGCGAGCGCTCTACCAACTGAGCTACCAGAGCAACTCAGCTTGGTAGGGGTTGGAATCTACAAAACAACACAACACAAAGGCACCTCAAACCACTGTGCTATGGCTCAGTACACTTCTCACTCAGTATGTAGGAGCAGGAGCGGGGTAATTAAACCACCAATGACGCCCAACCCCAAACCGAGTATATGCATGTCTCAACAACATGTAGCGAGGTAGAAAGGCAAGGAAAGGCAAAGAAGTCAACTAAACAGCTTTTTCAAAGAAAAGAAGAAGAGTTACCCTGTGTGGATTCGAACCCACGACACTCTGCAGTCTAGGCGAGCACATGTATATGTTCCTTATCCATTATATTTGTCGATATATTCACAGGCAGGTGTAATGGACAGTGGTCAGTGTAAGGAGGAAGTTCACCGACAAACTCAACAACTCTATCATATAACTCAGCTGTCAAAACAACGTAGTCCACTACACTGGACCATCAGGCAGTATAGCATGTGTAACGTCCCTCAGGGTCTCCGTAATGTCGTCCATTAACTATCCTCATTTCACTACTAATACACAGGGTTCAATTAAAGTCTATTCGCGTTCACCTTGCCGGTAGGAAATTCTGCCGTAATGTAGCTAAAATGACCGTTTTGAAATTTCAAAGCGCAGCGTGGTTGTAGTAGAGCGTAGGTTCTATTATCTGCTTTGCGAGTGCGTCCAACGCCCACTTAGGTGGCTTAGCTGTATGTCACATAAGCAAAGTACGCGACGTCTCCTTTGACCATGAAAATGCAATCACGTGGGTCATATGTGCGCGCTTAGGCGTAGAGTTGTGACGAGCGAGCGAGCAAGACCACTCTCCCCGCCGCTATGCGGGAGCCAGACCAAGGAAAAGGCAAGAATGAGAGGTTTGTCGTTTGATAAACCGTCTTTTACTAGAAAAACTCCACTGAACAACACGTCAACGCAGCGCGCATAGCGTACATCCACCGCCCACAAAATATTCGCGATAATTTATTTCAATTATGACGCAACCTTGCATAAACAGTTTTGACTAGTGTACTTCCGGGCGACAAGTGTGAACGAGAACAGACTTAGGATTTTCCTTGAGCAATTACTTGGGTGTCCTGTGTCATCCATATGCACTTTGCGTCCGGTAGTAGCAGGATAGCGTAATTCGGATATCCGAATCAGCATGTATATAGTCATGAAAGGTTCCTTCATATCTCCACACATGGCGGCACTTCCCTTAGATAGATATTTTATCACATCTGTTCCTATTGTTGACCATAGTGATTCTTCATCGCATAGCAGAAACAGGCACAACACGTCATTATTACGTCCACCAGCACTTTATATTTTAGTATCCCTAGTATCCCATATCGGCTGCTTTGTGCCAGTAGCGTCGACACTAACAAACTGACAGACATAAAACTTCCATAACCCTGACTAAGCATGTGCACGACAGCAAGCTGTTCTGCTCTCCAAACAAAAGGTTGGGCACATGGAGCGGATGACTCCAAATCATAGATGAGAAAAATAGTCGCCGTTACGCTACTTTCAAGCTACTCGTTTGGAGAAGAACGTCGTCTAGTATGGGCTGGGGGCACTAAAAATATATTCTACCTTGGAATAAACACTGCGCCATCACAGCTCTGAAATTTATAGCAGTGGCGCGGTATATGATCCAGGAAATATGGTATAATTACTATGCGTTATGTGCAGTGCCCACAAGTGTCGACAGCTACAAATAATATATATATATAAAAAATTTCCCCATTAAAATGAGTAGGAAGTCTCGCTTCGCTCGCCAATAAGACATCACACAACTATACGTTTCAGCAGTTTCAGTTTATGAAAACAAAGTTCATTACTAGCAAAGGGGGAAAAGGGTCATCAGTGTTAAAGCTATGAGCTTTGAATGGGGACCACTAGCTACAATACAGGCGAATGTGTGTGATGCGCTTATACACTGGGGGTTTTCGTGTGCTTATAATGTGTTATCCAAACCCTTTCCTGTCTTCCTCTACTGATGAATTTTCATAAACTAGGTATAAAACACAAGGCTATAGAAGAGTGCCAATTAAAACAGCTTGGCTTGCGAACTCTGATCTGCACATGACGAGTGTTAAGGCTTACACCCTCGTAAATAACAAAGATAGCTATGTGCTGGCTTTGTACAGTATATACTCTGCAGAGGCTCAGACAGACCACCAACAGTCACTAGAGTCTTGGCTTTATCAGCTGTATCAGCTAGTTGGAGGAAACCTTGCCACTCTTCACTTTGGCCAACATCTGCAAATTCAGGCAAAAAATACTTAACACATGCAGATAGTTAATTAAGAAGAACACAAAATAAGGATTTGACACAAAATAATTGGCGAGTGGAAGCTAGGAAACCTAGTGGTCCGAACGGCACTATTTTTTATGTATAATATAAATGTATGCATACATTACATATATACGTCGGACCCACCGTACATACATTGTGCTTCTTTTCATACGAAAAAATTTCAAGGTATCTGCTACCAGCGAGAGAACATTCTGCAGAGAAAGTGCTCACAGAAGGGAGGGTCTGCTCCAAGACGGCAAGGAGTTAGAAGGTCCGAGAAACATGCCGTTTTCGCCGTACAGCATGCAGCACAAAGAACATTACACGCAAGAGAGGAAAGCTCCAGAGCAGAAGAAAACTGTTTTGGAGGCATCACTGCACTTTGCAGGCCAAGGATGTACCTGTTTTCAATCCCCATGCTTCAAAGGTGCTAGATGTAAAAAGGGGCTGTGCAGATACAGTCATTGTGTGGTCGCTCGCCAAAAATGCCTTGCAATTGCCTATATATGTAACGTCCATACGTCGTTCACTTTTACACGCTTTTGGATTATGCCCTTTTTTCCGAAATGACTTTTACACGCTGTCTATGTACATCCCCGATAGGCGATTCAGAAAGCGAGAGAACCCTCTTCCATCGGGCAGCATTCGCTGTGCTCTTTGGTGCCTGACCGAGGCCATACCTCCTTCCAACCACCAGAAGCAGATAACATTTATGTTTCGTGGCAAGTACCAATTATACTTAAAGGGGGGAACAGTGTTCAGTGTCAAGACTGTGGCTTGAGGGGTGACATATGTCATTGGCATTTCTTTATCACACAACCAGCCATGGACAAAATGCATTGCTATTGGCCAATACAGGGATTGGCAGAGGGCACATAATCTCCATCCTATCTATATTGTGTTCTTCTCAGTGTTTTCACCACACTCAGAGAAAGGTTTGGCATCTTCTTCACAATTACATTCAATATTCATATCTCATAACTCATTAACGAAAGGTTTGCATGTAGTAGCAATGTAGTGCAGCCCAAAAAAAGTAGTCTACATCAGTCTCAGTGTTCTTTGTTCATAATATGCAACTTGTTTCGGCACACAAAAACAAAAACAAGACGATACATTGTACATGCATCGGATGAACTCGTAAGTTACATGATACATGTAGAATCTTCGTCATAAGTCCGTACATTCCAAGACACACGAATATATCCCTTGTCATAACAATTTACCCCATAGAGACACCAAAACAATTACGCATGCATACCGTGCAATACTAAATGTGCCACGTTTCGGCTACGATAGAAAGATAGAAATGTATAGGAGCCTGTGAACTATTAAGGCCAACTTGTAGCCCAGAAGCCATAGAAAATCAAAGTTCACGTACAAGGGTATACTCCATATCACTGACAATTACCCGACAACTCCAGGGGGATATGCATAGCCACCGGAGTGTACGAGTATCCAACCGACGAGAGACGGCGAAAAAAAAGCAAAAAACAACGTTCTGTGTGGCAGCTCCTACCCTTCCACACGCCGTGAGTAGTCCAAACCACCACCGTGGCTTAGGCTGCCACCACATGCTTCGCTGAGCATCGGTCTGGGGGATCGCAGTCGAGTGTTGAAGTCTGTGTTTGACAGTCCGCAGTGTGCGGGACTGGCAAAGTGTAGACTTTCACTAGAAATGCCTATCACTGTGTAGTGGTGTTCCTGGGCTACTCGCGGTATTAAAAAACCAGCTGCGGAGATATCCCGTGCCGCTTCAGCACCCGTGGGTTAACAATCACCTAGCTTTTTATGAGTTTGTTCATACATATTACTATTTGACAAATTTTTCAATAAAAAATATTCTTGGATGCAACCAGATGTTGCTTCTCTTAGTGTCCAATCACACGTGCTTCTCTTAGTGACCACTGACCACAGGACAAAAAACTTCTAATGAGCTAACACCCATCAGTAGGTGACAGTCCGCCCATACCTCAAGGACGAGAGCGCATGCTATCTTTGGAGCTGCAAGCTCACTGTGAGCGATGGAGAAGCACATGTGTTCATGCTAAAAGGACAGGACACATAGTTTCTTACACACAAGAGGCATGATTGTGTTTCTGTGATATTCACTGATGTTGAGTAGGTGAAAAAGTTACGCACATCCATTTATGGTACGATAGTGAGAACAGAGTGCAACACAGTTTGTTTTGTTGGTCGCATTTCTTAGGGTCTATTTATAGGAAAACCCCATATTTGACATGCCCACTGGTGCACCCCCTTCTATACGAAAGCTAAGTACTCTATACTAGGGCCATTTTGCATGTTAATAAAAGTACATTTGAGTTATGGTCGTTCTTGTGTACAGCGTCAAATACAAGTGCTCGCAAATATCATCCGCGTAAATGATATTCTTCAGCAAAGAAGCTCCACAATAGCATTAAACACAAACAACTAAGTGAAACAGCCATTGCATCACACACCTACCCCAATCACAGCTTTCTTGCTTGCTTTATTATGACCAGCACCTAGGTGTGTGTGTAGAGAATCGATTGCTTGGAGCTGTTGGTGAAGTTGCAACGGGTTGGCCATCTTCTCCAAGAGTTATAAACACCATAGTGCCTTTCACAGTGAGTCTCATAGATTTCAAAATGTGCCTATCCTACATAATATATGTGATCCGAAAAAGAGTACAAGTCGGCAAAAAATATTTTTCGGTATTTCACAGGATTCCGCGTTTTCTACCGTTTTGCCGTGCTCGTTCAAAATTTGGTGCGGATGACCTGTTCCATCTGGAGATATAGCCCTGGAAGCAATTTTCAACGCTCTAAAAATATGTAGCGTCTTCTAGATAGATGTAGGTCCTTCTCGTTTGAAAAAAAGTCTGAATCGCGCTGTACCCGCTGTTTCGACTTGTAAGGTTGTTTACTCACTTTTGCCGACTTATACGGCTTCTCACGTGGACGGTCACATATAATTATACCAACTGCAACTTACCTGAGTACCAAGTTTAACAGACAGCCAAATACAATTGCAAGGCATTCGTAGGTGGATGGACTGCTCGTTTCGGCACCCCTTAAACACTCACCACTGACAGGGGCCGCCAGTTCGGATCTTCCCTCTGGAGCCAAACTTACAGTGGTGCTGATGCTTCAGTGTGTGGTTGCGTGGCTGTGCTGTTGCACATACGAAGTTGCATGCACACAACATCCACTGGGTGTGGGTCGAACTCTATGTGCTAACGAAAGCAAGACCTAGCTAGCTATAAAGTCATCGAACGGCATTATACCAGCCTCATTAGATTGATTACAGTTCGCAAGAACTTATGTGAAAGACTCCTACACATCTTGAATTCTCCGCACAGAAGCGGTTCAAGGAAGGTTAGGAAGGTTCGAGAAGGTTCGATGCAGTTGAACCACTCTGAACTACAGTACAAGTATCCTACACATCTCATTCCCATTGTGAATATGTTCTTAGAGTATGCACGTGGGATACATTCCGTAACATGGTCTGGAGAGAGGTATATAAAAGTGGTTAAGACTATGTATTAGTTATGTCATGTCCGTGAGTATGTTGCCGGAATAAATCACGAGTCCTGAGGGCCCGCAGGCCGAGTGATTTATTCAGGAACATACCGAACTAAGGACATGACATAAGTAATTTATGATGACCCGCATTGTTATGGCGGAGTGGAATCCAGATAACTTGGCAGACTTGGGGATATGGAAGTAACTGCTTTTAGTAGTGTAAACTGTCTTCACAGGAAGTTGATATAACACTCATAGGAAAGTTGATATAGTATAGCCCTGCTGCAGTATTCTCCCTGATAAATGTGTGGCGGCGGCTTTTGATCCACCCACACATGACAAACATAAACATAGATGAGCACCTCCTCTGTAAACTGGTGAAGAAAAGCTATCTGTGCCAGCGTTACATTACTCGGCGTGCCTTCAACTCCTTTGTCACAGGTCCCAATGGCATAGTGGTGAGACCACTCTTAACAGTAATATAGGACATCCCTTGCTCAATCCTAAACCGGGTCCCTTGTTTTTCAAGCAGAAAATTCTTCTCTTTCTGCAAACTTCCAGGCTAATAATAAAGTGTGTTTAAAAGGCGAAACACCGGTACAGGCAAATTAAGGTTGTCACAAACCACACAAAAAAGGAAAAACAAAACAGAACTAAATATATGCTATTCTAAATGACTCAGCCCATGAATCATGCACAAGCAGAAACATACGCAAATAACAGGAACACTGCCATGCCTTCACCACTAGTTCACCACTAGGAAGGCATGCACGCAATGTCAACAAATAATATTGCACAGCTCTATCACCAGTAACCATGTGCTCAACAACTTGGTAACGAGGTCTCGAGAGCACTCCAATGGCAACACATCAACTACACCCAGGACAGCTCCTCTGTTCAAAGAAAAGAAGAAGAGCAGTCTGGGGGATTCAAAGCACACTTGGCAGCTAGGCGAGTGCTTTACCAACTGAGCTACCAGGGCAACTCAGATGCTAGGGGTTCGAATCTACAACACAACAAAAGGCAAACCTCAAACCACTGTACTATGGCACAGTAAACTCTCACTCAGTGTGGCGGATATACACCAAAGACTGAGCTGAGCCATAGAGCTCATAGAAAGCATAATCACACCCATTAAAATGCAAGAGAAAGTGACTGGTAATAGGGCATAGGCTGGAGCCACATGACAAAACTGCCAACGCGGACATAAAAAGCCCACATTAACTAGCTCCTAGTGTGGTTTCCTCCTTCTGCAGCTCCACTACACGCTCGAACACGCACTAGCAGCATGTCTCACATGTTGCATGCAGTGGGCAACTTAATAACTGTAATGAATTATTAATGAGGTGAAAATGTTAAAATTAATAAAAATGGCGCAGGTGAGAATCCAACCAGCTACCCATGCACTCACAATAATGCCAAACCAACACTTTTACACATGTGGTAACATACGTCAAAGTATTCAACACACGCAGACCCGGTTTACCTCGCAATATGCTCAATCACAACATGCCACATTGCCATGTCACATCCTACGTGCAAAGCTATTACACTCGCCATAGGCCAACATGCTGCTTTGTGAGAACCCAGCTTATTAAAGTACAATACACAGCTCTCTATATCTACTGGGCATTGCTCAAAAGCAAAAGGCTGTAAACTATACTCGAATGATGCTACAAATATTGGCGAGAGTGAGCAGTGAGCTAGTAGAATTGTAGCGTTCTTAACCCTCGGTCTGCACAATGAGCAACGCGGGGTTACGGTACTGTGGTCTGAGCAAGGTCCGTTCTGTCGTCGTCTGTCGCTGTCAGCAGCTATTCTGCATACAGGCTACGAGGCAGCAGGCGGGCCATGAGCAATACCAACGTCTTCAGAACATACGAGTACCTGAAAACAAGGGACGATTTCTGGACACGACTGCGTGTGAGAGACTAGGCCATAAACAGAAGCAAAAACCAAGCTAATATGGATCACACACCAGCTTTTGACCTCTCGACTGATCGCTGACTCTGTTGTACCATAGCAGGAGGCACAATAAGCCACCACGAAGGCCGTGTATCGACTCCCGCATACGGCAGGGTATCTAGCCCGCTGTCGGAACTCTCTGCGACCAACTAGCATGCGAGACGCGACGCGTAAGTTTTTACTCATAGTCCAGTCCATCAATTAGCTGGTGCCACGCATGCGTAATGCACCGAGGGTTTGCACTTCAGTGATTTTTATGGTGTTCAAATTTTATCAGAGTACTTAGAGTCACATGTAGAACCATTGTACCGGTCATACGTTAGGCGCCAAAGTTCGCGATCAGACTATCCTCGCATTGTTTTGCCAAACCGGATCCTAGCTTTCCGCAGAAATCGTAGAATAGCACAGACATTACACTAGGATGGTACTGTTTTATGGTATGTAGCTAAACGATATAAAAGGGCACGCTTTCCAGGGGTTCCACAGTATCCCGCAGCAGCGCTATGATCACAGCTTGGCCTTCGCAAGGTTTTCACAGGTGCGTCGACCCATGTCCACCATTAGCCTACGCCTCTGTTGAGCGCCATCCTCGTTTGCTGAGGACGAACCTCGGATACACTGCATGAGGGGCGCTTGCCTCACGAAGGGCCTGCTGTGCGCATCCACGTTGCGGTCCGTCGTCACCTCGTGACAATAGGCGTTGGTATGACGATGTAGTCATCTCTTCGCTCCATCGCTACACTGATAACTGGGCACAGATGACGAAGGGAGCACAATCTTACAGAGCGAGATGCCTGATTTTCACGTGGGCCCAGGCTTACACAAGAACAATCCGAGGTTCATGCACCTGGAATGTGATCTGTTGTGCAAAGCTAGGATCCGAGGTTTGTGCAACACAATCCTAGGATGGTCCGAATATAAACTTTGCGCCTAACACATAAAAATAGTATTATTTCCCGCATTTATACGACGATTCAGGCAATCTTCGTTCGCCAAAAAGGATGTACAGTCTGCAGATCTGTCATTGTATGGGAATCTTCTCGGGTCTATCCCTAAATACTCAACTTGCAGTACTGTAGCATTATGCCCCGATATTATCAACGGCAGAGTATTTCTAAACTTTACATATTTACTCACTGTCACAAACTCTCCAAACTCTACAGTTTCATTTCTATCCAGATCCACCTCCTTAATCATGTCCCTGATCTTGTAACCCGGAACATTTTCACCAAGTGCTTTCATCACATTGCTTATCTCACCAACTGTTATGTGACCATTTCCGTCTGCATCAAACTATGGTGAAAGTATATGTAAGAGTGCTACACAAGAAACAAAAACAGTTGACAGTAGCTATTATGTTATGTAACACATTAATTTGTCCCGTTTTATAGCAGTAAGGCCAGAAAAAAACATATTATACCGGAAACGACATTAAAACCTTGTTATCCAAAGTCCGGTATTAAATTTACTAAAAAAAGTCAGTTTTCATATTTCTTCTCGCTGTTGTTGTTGTTGTTGTTCTATTTCAATAAGCGTATCTCAAAAACCAGGTCAGACACCGAAATGAAACTTTGCACAGATACTGGAATCCATGACAGGTCATGGAAGAGCATTATAATTTGTTTGTAAAATGTTGTTTACATGTAAACAACAAAAACAGCCACAGGCCATTCATTATGATAGAGACCAATAAAGTGTGTTAACTAGGTACAGTAAATCCCGAGAATGGTAAACATATACAACCCATCATCAGTACCAAAATGAAAATATTTACAACTTTGTAAACAACAACAAAGAGCCTCAGGCTTTAAAAACTTGTAAACTGTGTTTGTGCCCATAACCTGCTTATGGTGGTTCCTCTAAAAATGAAACTTGGTACACTGATGTACCATGATAAGAGTTCATCAAAACAAGTTTGTACACGACAGCAAACATCCCCAGGCAATAATATGATGTTTGCGCATATAACTTGTTATGGTTGGTCCTCTAACAATGAAACTTAGTACACTGATGTACCATAATGAGAGTTTATCGAAACAGAAAATTGTAAACAACAACCAACAGCCTCAGGCAATAAAAACCTGTAAATGGTGTTTGGTTGGTCCTCTAACAGTGAAACTTGGTACACTGATATACCATGATGAGAGTTCGTCGAAAGAGAAATTACACGCTTGTAAACAACAACAAACAGCATTAGGCAAAGAAGACTTTTAAATGGTGTCAGTGCCTATAACTAGCTTATGATGGGTCCTCTCACAATGGAAGTTGGTGCACTGATGAAATGTAAATGAGGGCAAAACGTCTGAGGCAATAGCTTAAGGCCACTAATGTTACTTTTTTATGGGCTTACGCTCAACATTTTATTGCACACCATGCATGTGAATGCAGTAGGAATGGAGACAAGTAAAGAAATTCGTCAATTTCTTAAAAAGTGTGGAATAAAAAGTAAGGAGACAAGACAGGAATGACCTAGTGAACATGATGAAGTATATAGTACAATGGATACTGACATCGCTTGCTCATGTAAAATTTCCTCCACACAAGCCCTATATTGTCGCCACCTTTATTTGTTTAGTGAAGTGCGAGGACAAGTGAAGTGCAAGGAGAATGGTGAAAGGATTCTGTATGCAGATGGCCAAGAACGTAGCATTTATAGTTGAGCATATGTAGAAGTCATAGACTGCACAAAATCCAGTCACAACTGAAAACCGAGCAGATGGTATAACCTGTCTGATGTGCTTATGAAATAAATCGTAGCTTTGCATCATACAAGGGAGAACACTCATACTTGGCAACAATAGAGTGCTTGTGTGGAGGAAATTTTACACGAGCAAGCGATGTCAGTTCAAAGTATGCAGCCATCATCCATTGTACTACTGCATCACATTCACCAGGTCATCCCTGTCTCGTCTCCTTGCTTTTTATGGCATCCCTATATTCCACACCTTGAATTTTGTATTCACTTCAATATTTACATAGAAAGGGAGAAAGGATATGGATAGGAATCATGAAGCATGGTTAACAAACACAGTGTTTGAGCATGCTGACGCCCCCGACCCCATCACACAACCCCTATACTGTTGCCTAGGTGAAGCACCTGCTCGCTTCTCTTTTCTGCTGCCCTATTACGAAAGAGCTTTAAACCCAGGTGCAGCACAGATTCAAACTGGGACTAGGAGTGTTTCACGGTCTTGTCCGCTATCATTCAAACCCCGAAAAGGCTAGTGCGGTGCTCCACCAATGTAATCTCGAAATATAAGTGGAATGCTAAGCCATTATGGTGAGTGGAAGCGAACAAACTTTCTGCAATCTCTGCTCCTCGCAAGTTGTTGGTGGGCCTGCTCCGTTTCTGGCGCTGTGCATGTGCTTGACGTTGAGAGAGGCATGTCTCTCGCTCCTCAGTTGTCTCTGGTGGCGAGATACTGTGTTCTGCGGGCTTTGTTCTTCAACAGTCGTTCACGGGCTTCTCTTTAAAGAGAGATGATTTACCATCGTTTGCTGATGGTTACCTCGCATTGTAGCGGGTGGGGAGGTTCCCTGCAATGCAGGTTGTACAAACGACAACATAGGATCCATGCTAAAACAGACAATGGAGAGGTAGGGTGCGGACAATGGACGGATAAACTGTGTGTCTTGTCAAAAGCAGCTAACCCTAGGTAGGTATAAATAAATTAAACAAGAGGCATATAGGGATGATGAAAGTGAGACAAGATAGGGACAGGATACATGTTACAAGGTTAACAAGCAGATGTGACAACACTGGCACCCCGGCCACATCACACAATCCCAATTTGTTGCTTGGTGTGCATCTCAGTTCACAATAACGGTGTTTGTAGCTCACTATCTTCAAGCTATACGTCCCGGACAATTGTAAGTTGAATGTTTAATACTTAACTTAGGCAACAATATAGGGATTGTGTAATGGGGTTGGGGGTGTCAGCATGCTCACATCTGTTCAGCATGTGCCCCATCATTATCTTGTAACCTTTTCTTTTTATCCATCCCTATATCCCCCTTTTTTAAATAAGCAAGATTTGTAATTTACTTCCACCCATTTTTATACACCACTACACATATCCCTGCCCCCTTTGAAAATTTCTAATGAAGAAAAATATAAAATGCCTCTTGTTTTTTACAAACATGTGATCATCCTGGAAATGAGGAAATACACATGTGTACCAAGTTTCATCTCCATGCATGCTACAGTTCACAAGTTCAAGAAGAGAAGTAAGTTTAAAGAAAAGTGCATGAGGCTATTCGTCGTTCAAACAATATGTGGTCGTCATGGAAACGATGTAATACGCATGTATACCAAGTTTCATCTCCTTACATGCTACTAATAGGGAGTTGGAGGAGTGAAGAAGTATTTTATAAAGTGCGAGGGGCTTTATGTTGTTGTTTACAAACACGTAGTCGTCATGGAAACAAGTACATGTAACAAGCATGCATAACAAATTTCATATCTATGCGTGCTATCATTAGAAAAGTGAAACTAGTCAATTTAAAGAAGGGTGCCTGAGGCTTTGTGTTGTTGTTTACTAGCAAGTATTGTTGTAATTTTGATGTTAGAGCATTTCACATAGCTCTTACTTTTTCTGAGTTAAACTGACATGTGTACCCTTTATACTGTAGTGCCTGGGACTATTTGTTCTGGTTTGCAGCAAACAACATTGTTTACAAACAAACAAGTATGGTGCTGCACATCCGGTTATGCATATCTACATTCCTGCAAACTTTCATGCCTTCATCAATTACAGTTCTTGAGTTATGCGAGTGTGAACAAAACGAAACATGCAGTTCGCGTATACAAGGCGAAACACTGGTGCGCCCAACTCTCATTTTTGGAGGTTGCCCGACAAAGATCACAAACAAAATGGTGACCCACACAAAGAACCGCTCCATGGACGGGTATTGTTACACTATCTGTGGAGGACTATATCCCTAAATCATGCCCAGACACACTGAGACACTGCTATGCTTCATGCATCCCTTTCGTGACCGAGAGACTGCGAGCTACTTGCACTGCTGCCGAGAATCGCACTGGTTGTCCGCCATGCAGGGAGGTAACAACGCCCCACTGAATCTGCGATAAAGCAGCTGAGTAGCTTCCTGGCCGGGGTAGAACTTTGCTGGCAGCTCTGTTGTGATGTTTTCAGGGGTCTTCGTCAAGCTTCGCTACTTGCCATGACACAGTAATGAGAAGAAGTTTTAAGCGAGTAAGTGCAGCACAGGCGGTAGGTCTGCAAAAGGTCAATCCCTGTTTGCTTACATTGAGCTTCATGGCCCCAGCCGGCTCGCAAGGTCGACATTCGCCGTCTTCGATGTTTGTACGTCACATTTTACAAGTCTTTAGTGCCCGGGGCTGGTTTACAAACAGCTTTTGGTAGTAATGATGGGTTGCATATTATGTGTACGAAGTTTTATCACTCTGGGTGCGCACCAAGTTTCACCCCAATGTGTGGTATAGTTAGCAGGTTTAAGAGTGAAGATGTAATTGGTGGTCGTCATAGAAACGATGTTACACACATGCGTACAAAGTTTCATCTCCATGCATGGTACCGTCAGCGAGTTTGAGGAGTGAAGAAGAAATTAAGAAAAGTGCCTGAGGCTATTTGTTGTTGTGGTCGTCATGGAAACGATGTAATACGGAAACGATGTAATACACATGCGCACCAAGTTTCACCTCCGTGCTACAATTAGCAAGTTTGAGGAGTGGAAGAAGTAATTTAAAGAAAATTGCCTGAGGCCTTTTCGAACAATATGTGGTCGTCATGGAAACATGTAAATGATATAATAGGTATACATACCAAGTTTCACCTCTATGCGTGCTACCATTGGAAAGAAGAAGTCAATTTAAAGAAAAGATGTCGGTTATTGTGTATAAAGCCATGAAATCTCACAAAGGATACCACCTACTGAACGGGCAATGAAGGTCAGAATTTTCGAACGGTTTTCTCTGAAAACGCTCCGTTGCAAAGCTAGAGCGGGAAAAAGCCAATATGCAAATACACAACGGCTTACTACGGCATGATCGATCCGCGTGCTCTGCATATATACCTCTGAGGCACCAGAAGATGCAACGCAGAGGGCGTGTATCGCCTCTCGCATGCTATCTAGTAGTGTAGTTAGCCCGCGTCGTCAGACTCTGCGCGAGCTGGCAAGAGACCACGAGTAACAGCTAAAACTAAACCCAGCCCATCAATTAGTGGTACGGCGCATGCGTTTACTTACACGCGCGCGTCACAGTACGCCGAGGGTTTGCACTTCAGTGCTTTTCATGTTCACATGTAGTATGCCCATTATAACGTATTGCCCGGGCCAATTTTTTTGTTGTTTACAGCAAACAACATTGTTTACAAACAAAAAGTATGACGTTGCACATGTGGTTATCGATATGTACATTCCTACAAAATTTCCTGGCTTTATTAACCCTCGGCGCGCATGCACAGCGAGGGTTACAGTAGTTGAGTCTGTCTGTCTGTCTGTCTGTCTGTCCGTTACTCTCAATCTCACTTCTCGGGTGTTTGTTCGTCTCACAAAGGACACGATCTACTTAACGGGCAATGAAGGTCAGAAAGTATGTGCGGTTTTCTCTGAAAATGCTCCGTTGCATAGCTAGAGTGCGAAAAAGCAAATACGCAACGGACGGCATGGCTTACCGCGGATCGTGCTCTGCGTACTTCGGAGGCACAAGAAGATGCAACACAGGGCGTGTATCGCCTCTCACATGCTATCTAGTAGTGTAGTTAGCCCGCGTCAGACTCTTCGCGAGCTGGCAAGAGACCACGAGTAACTGCTAAAACCAAACACAGCCCCCATCAATTAGTGGTACTGCGCACGCGTTTACTTACGCGTGTGCGTCGCCGAGGGTTTGCACTTCAGTGCTTTTCATCTCTTTCGGTTTGAGTTATGCTGGTTGAAGAAGAAGACGACGATGAACAAAACTCCTTATCATAGCTCCATACATCTATGATGCTAGGTACCATACCCATCCCTATATACTAAGTAGTACCGTACTTAGTGATATAGGCACTTTATTAACCCTCGGCGCGCATGCGCAGCGAGGGTTACGGTAGTTGTCCCGTAAGTGTGTCTGTCTGTCAGTCTGTCTGTTACCACGTTTTCCGCCACCGCGCGCACGAAATCAGGTAAATAGCGATATGATCGGGTTCAGTGCTACACTGGGTTGATTTTTAAAAAGGCGACTTTCGTAAAACTACTGTGTTTTTAAAGTTATGGCGTGAAAACCAGTGAACAAGCCAATATGTAAATTAGCACAGGCTTACCTCGACAACGTCCGTTCGCTCTGTGTGTCTTGAAGGCACTACAAGTCACAACGAAGGGCATGTATCGACTCCCGCATGCTATTTACTACTGTAGCTAGCCCGTGCCAGACTCTCCGCGAGCTACTAGCGGGATACCACGAGTAAAAGCCCAGCCCATCGATTAGTGGTATATACCGCACATGCGCAGTTCGCCGAGAGTTTGCACTTTAGTGCTTTTCATTGAAACTGTTAATCAGTCTGTGGAAGCACTGTTACAGGCCAGAATTTAATTACTGACTCCATTTTCATTGGTGTGGTGAGGTGGTAAACTGGTAAATTTCTGGCGTAGCATTCTTCCCTGACCTTGAGGGAGCACACTATTCTATTCTACGGAGATGTGCTCGTGGTGAACTACCCTATCAGGCTCCCAGCCGAATTTTGACACATAAATCAGTATTCATTCCAGGAGTCACTTGACAGGACTGGACCCTGTCAGTCTTATCACCAGGGCTCGTCCTGTCTCCCAACTTTGTGTACAGGGGATCTACTACATCACTACCAGGACAGGTGAGTAGTCCTTACACACTTCATAATGGCTATTGACTGCTCAATTATTGACTGTAAAGTGTGAACTACAACACACTGTCTTTTGACAAGCTTGGGAACCCAGTGTGATAAAGAGGGAGCAAAAAGGGACAACCTAAGAAGAAAACAGTTATGCAAAACGCAAAACTCACAAAGTAAATAATTGCTTGGGCAGATTAGGACTAGGGCAAAAGGGCAAAGGGCAAAAGTAATGCCTAAGATTGCCACTGACAGCATACACTACATAGGCAGGCAACAATTACCATGCGTGTCACCTATGCATGCAATGGTGGCCCACCCATAACTATTTACGCACGTATATACAAATCAGGCTCCCTGCAGATTTTTGACCTTCAATCTTTCAGGCAAAAGAAGGAACAAGAACAAACCAAACGGGAAGGCACCCTACATAAATTATGACGCTTCCAAACACAGCAAATAGAGAGAGAGACAAGAGTGTTTAGCACAACTAAATACCACAATCTACAGACGGTTGTGCCGGGATGGATCATAGTCAGTGCTAGGGCTACGGCTCTACTAGAATATAGCCCTATCCCCCATTTCAAAATTAGGTAACAGCACCAACAATTCCAGTCACAGTTAGCTCTTACCTGAAAAATGAAACAAGCACTGAAGTCCAAACCCCCGGCGAACTGCGCATGCGTGGTACTGCTAATTGATGGGCTCGGCTTTAGTAGCTACTAGTGGTCTCACATGCACTCCGAGGGTTAAAAAGCATACGACACACATGTACGAAAAGAATCAGAGTGGGGATCTATTGTGTACATACGCAATACTCGCAATCACCATTGGAAGCTAAGGTGTCTTTCCTGGTCCAGGATCTATAATCAGATCGTAGAAAAGCCAATCCACATGACGTGATGTGGACAGGCCATTCCGTGACCTGATTGGCCTGATGGCTGTTCTGCGTATAATAAATCATACCCAGTAACTAATATAAACAGGGCCTGAAGACATCAATAATCATCTTTGGGCAGACTTAGGATCGAAGGGTCCGACTCAAGTGGAAATCTCGTTACATTTATGGGTAGAAATCAATCTGAAATCAGCGAAAAGTGGAACTCAGAAATCAAGTTGCCATGTGCGCGCTGCTTTTATGCTCCGTATAGCTCAGTAAACTACAACCCACCGCGGTGCATGCGAGCCCCGATATCCAGCCGGCCACATCACGTGCGACTGCGGGTACCGCAAAAAGGTGTGTGGCTCCACCTGGCTATGACCACACTATAATATCATACGCTGGGCTTTGCACAAAACAAAGGAGTGTGTAAGTTGATCAGGGATCGGCCTTGGCCTTGGAATAGGTTTGCTCAGGTGGAAATACCAGGATATGAGAAATAAGAGGGCAAAGGAAACTGTGTAGAAATCCCTTGGGACTCCTACCGACCTCGACTTCATTGCACCTGCTTGAGAAGAGTATACGTATATCTGAGAACATGAAGTACCACACCACTAACAATTAGACTATGGGGAGAGAAGTGAATTGTTTCTTACTTGCTGTTTCTGTAGCCAGCGATACCCAGGGTTTATCATGTGCACCGGCGACAGTATTAGAGGCCTCAGTGTTCTGTGGCACATGACTTGTACTTTCGTGCCAGTAAGGGAACTCCTCTTGAGGGAGTGTACAGTTATAGCTACGTAGCAGTAAACCCTCGACAGACAGAGAAATCAATAGAAATCAATCTAGAAATCAGTATAAATCACGCGGAAACTGGAAATCTCTTGAAATCACGGAAATCTCAAAATATTAGTTGAAATCCAATGGAAATCTGGAAATCAAATGAAGGGCTTTCAGCAATCTCGTAGGTCATAATGCCCGTGTCGGACCCCCGCTTAGGATACGACTACGGTGTTCGGGGGTAGTTTATGCTGGCTACGTACGAGACACCTTTTGCAAATCATCAACCCGTGAAATTATCAAATACATCTGTGGTATCACAGGAACTTGACCTCCTAGCGGATCTCCTTCTTCCCCAAACAGAGTACTTGGATACACAAACACTCCCAAACGTAACAATACCTGGATATCTCAATACCTTACTTACTTGATCAAACAGCTCCTTGATCTCTCCCAACTCACTTTCAGTGAAGCTGCTATTCATCGCGTGCGATCACTCCAACAATATCAGTCTGAGACTCAGTGGCATGCAGACTGTCCCGGGCGTTGAAAACACAAACCCTATATAGTCATTTTCCCTTCCGACGCGCACGCATGCGTGGCGACTGAACGCCCGTTTCCGCGCCGTCGTGCGTCAGAGGTGGAGTTGATACCAGAAGAATTGAAGGAGAAATACACTCCAGAACAGCTTCGAGCATGGGCTCACATGATTCATTGTGACTTGTACGAGTATCCTCCTGACAAACGTTGTGTCCATGTCCGCCTGTTCTGTGATATGCTGCTCAGCTCTGCTAAGTTGATCTGCAAAATGTGGAACACAGACTTCAGCCTCTGGTGTACGCAGGAAACTTTTGTACACCTGGATGTACGTAGTTTCAGTGTCAGGTAGTCCTTCCCATGCATTCGAGACGGTATTGTTCCATGGGGAAAGCAGCGCAAACCGGTTACAGCAACTGGCCTCTCCTGGGAGACGGATAGCATGAGGTCAGAGTGTATTGATCAGTTGCAGAAGTGGCACAAATTGATGAAGTATGGGGATGAGCAGTATGCTGAACTGAAAGACACTATAGTGTACTAAAAATATCAAGGACTTTGAACAATATACAGAATGCATATAAATATCCATAATCTTTTTTGTAGTACTCAGTCGTCCCACAGAGACCCGAAGTGATTGGCTAGCTATAGGTCTACGAGACTCTGGGAAGGCTAGAAACCAGGCTCTCTCGTTTGAGAGCGATGGCGACGGGGGCGGGAGAGAAATAAAAGCACCTGATGGTGGCAAGACTTGTAATGGTGTCAATTGGGTCGCAGCTCCTCTGGGGTTACCTAGAGCATCCCCCACAGATTCTCGGCAGCCAAGTATATACCTTGTGCAGACCCTACCCATGGACCTCTTCAGTGGAGAGACAGCCGATGCAACATTTGAGGACGTGCTACAACGTGGAGCTGAGTGGACAACTGACAAGGAGATGCTGATTCAACTGGCAGGACACTTGAGAGGGCGAGCTTTGCTGGAGTGGGCCCTCCTCCGAAATGCTGAGAAGTAGTCATAGCCAGCAGCCATTCATGCTCTGCGTCCTCGACTAGATCCTGGTAACAAAGTTGTAGCTGCCCAAGATTTCCGGCATGCGTGAAGGCGAACCCATCTCTGAATATATCCGCCGCTTGAAGCAGTTGTTCAGACGCGCTTATATATAGGCACGAGGGGGATGTCAGATCAGACATACCCTACTTCATAGTCAGCTACAAGAAGGCCTGTGTTATGCCCAAATTAAAGCAACGGCAGTATTGGAGCGCGAGCATACCTGGAGCTTTGTCTAGCGGCCCGCGATGAGAAGCGCCTTGCTGAGCTGGCTAAGAGGAGAGTATCGGAGCTTTCAACCGACATCGAGACATCCAGAGCAAGGGATCCCGGGTGCTGGGTATGGTCGAGAGCAGCCACGGGATTCACCAGAGGCACTGAAGCGCTGCTATCACTGCCATCAAGTGGGGAATTTTGCTAGGGATTGCCCGGAGAGGACTGAGCCCAACACTGAACCACCTGGGGTATCGATGGGCCAAGTCTATGCCTCTGATGATGAGATAGAAGACCCAGAAGAAAGCCAAAGAAATGCTGAATTGCCTGTTTCCTGACTCTAGTGATGACTCTGAAGTACGCCGAGTCTGCGTTAATGACCGAGGCAGAATGCCAACGTTCAACTGGAGGGGGTCCTAGCCCGGGGGATCATTGACAGCGGTTCAGAAATGGCAAAAGTTGGAAGAGAGTAATGGTGGCAGCGGTGGCACGACTACAGAAGAGCCAGTTTCAAGGACCAAGGACATATGTCGGAAGGACATTTGTGCTACATGGAAAGCTTTGAAGGAAAGACGAGGATGAAATAATTACTCAAGACCCCAACCTCTCGAATTCCGATTGCTCGAAGCTTCTATCCGCACTTCCCGATGAAATTCGTCCTTGAGACTGATGCCTCTGTGGGAATGTACATGGAAAACGAGACACAAGGAGAAAATTGCTCGAAAGCGCAGTAAAAGCATGGAGAGGTGTGAATAAATGTTCGTAAAAATGGCATAGAGAAAAACGTACGTATGCGAAGAAAAAAACGTGTGCATGCGCAGAAAAAGTGTGGACAACTGAGAAAAACGCTCGCATGCGATGCAAAAATGTGGAAGAGAAAGACGTGCAAATTCACAATAAAAACCTTCACATGCGAATGGTGAATGCGAAGTGGTCCACTAAGAACAACGCACTGCAAAAAGTGCAGATCATTGTGAAGAAACAGCAGTAAAAACGTGGTAAAAACGTGGAACAAGGTGAAACACAATGACACGCGAAGTAAAAACGTGGAGGGAGAAAACAAATGCGCATGAATTCGAAAAAAGTGTGAAAAACTTGCACGTTGACAGGAGAAAATGTGGACAACAGAGAAGAACATAGAACAGGAAGATGTGCGCGTTCGAAGAACAAGGAAGAAACAGGAGTGCATGCTGGATAACAACGTGCAAGACGTTCTCATGTGTGGAGAAAATCCTGCACATACAAAGAAAAAACGTGTAGCAGCGAGATATGTGCGTAAAAAACGAGGGGGAGTGAGAAAAACGTGTGCATGCAACAAGAGTGGAGCAGCGTGAAGAAATGTTTGCATGCCCAGTAAACATGGAGCAGGGAGAAAAACGTGCGCATGCGAAGAAGAACGTGGAGCAGGAAGAAAAACGTGCTGCATGATAAGAAAAACATGGAGACGTCTTCACATGCGCAGTCAAAACGTGGAGCAAGCAATAAAACGTATGCATTTTTAAGAGAGTCTCCTTCAAAAACTTGATGTGTCTGTCAATCTGCACACACCAGATATTGTATGTATTGTAGAGTCCTGGCTCTCACCAGAGATCCAGGACTCTGAAATTATTATCCCCATACTGTAAGGTTGGACAGAAACAGACATGGTGGTGGTTTTGTCTCTAACAAGTTTGTGTTTCAACATCTCCCTGATTGTTCCCCTCTTGACAATGACCCTGCGTCATGCAAATCGTAAGTATTGTCTGTCAGTGTTGTATCGTCTGCCATGTCAAAGTGTTGATGTATTCTGTGTCCTAATTGATACATCACAGTTGTTAAGCATCCATTGCCTGAGCATATCGTGCCTGTGAGAATTCGTCATAGCTGGAATTAAATGGTGGGAGTGAGGGGTAAGAGGAGAGTGACTGAGATTGAACATGACGAAAAAGAAAGATTTGAGAGCAGTCGCGCTTCGCGCCATCCGACTACCATTATATTTGTGGATCTATATGCCGGAATATGTTCCCGTGCACTCCTAAATTGGATGTTAACCTTCTTTTTGAAGAGTGTATTTCGGTGTCTCATGCTCTTTCAATTCAGCAGACCACCAAGGGAGTGAGGAAAGTATCATTCTTGGAAAAACTTTCCCATGATGCTGAGAAACATACGTTGCCAGTAGGCATGCAATATTTATGTCCTTTAATGATGAAGTGGGTCAGGAATCTGGACTGTGCCAAGATATCTGCACGGATGCTAACTCGACAGCCTCGAACATTGCGCCTTCCATTACTGTGCTTTTAATTGCACTGTTCGTTGTGGCAAACTTCATGACCAGTGGAAACTTTCGATGGTTGCTCACATTCTAAAATCTACCAACACTTCTGAACCATCCTATATCACTGCTATGCATACTGGGTTAAAAGCATATGTATAACGCTTCGAATTATCTACCAGGCAGTGGGGTTTTCGTTCTACCATTCAACCGTCTCTGCCTTATCAGTGACCTACGATTGGCATGCTACTCTTGAAAGAGGTCAGGAAGTGTGTGCCCTCCCCAAGAAGACTCCTGGTGACTGGCACCCATGTGGAGATTACAGAGCACTCAACAGCCACGCCACCCTAGACTGCTACCTATTCCAGATTTTACCACAACACTCACAGGATCCACAATCTTCTCGAAGTGGACCTTGTCCGCACATATCACCACCACTCTGTTCAGTCTGTTTTAAATCCTGCGGATGCCATTTGGCCTAATGAATGCGGCTCAGTCATTCCAGCGTTTCATGACCAAGTCCTCAGAGGTCTGCATGCCTATATTGATGACTCCCTGATTAGCTCGTTCAAGTCCCCAAGAGCACCAAGAGCACTTGCGAGCGGTCGCATTCTCGAGGTTTCACTTACCTCCTCACCGTGTTCCAGAGGCCCCCCCGATACCCCATCGGCAACATTGCAGCGGAGACGGTTGCGGAAGCGTTTGTGAGTGCGAGGA